ATGTGCTGAGATGTACCCAGAAGTAAGTTTGCTTATGCAGTGTAATGAAGAAACAATGAAGAAAAGAGAAGACGCTCTAAGGAAGGATTTGCAGAAGTTTGCAGAACAAGAGGACAGCATGACAGATGAGGGAAGTGATTTGTGGGAAACAGGACCACCCACAACGGGGGAAAAAAGCAAGATGGTTAGCAGAAAAGGAAAGGAGCTGAGAAAATTACTAACTTCATGAGTAATGGAAGAGCAAGTAATGAGGAATTAAAAAGGGCTACTGAGACAATAAAAAGCCACCTTCTGGTGGAACCAGAAGGAACAAGCATAGCCACCACGGGTAAGAATTCAAGCCAAAAAATCACAAGAAGAAGCTGGAAGTGTCAGTGTAGTCTCAGTGCACCTGTCAGAACAGTATAAAGAGGTTTGCAGCATTGGCAGACACAAGGCTTCAGCAAGGAGGAAGCAGATACTCCTGTTCCAGAGACCAGCAGCAGGAGTGGTCATACAGGAGTTTCACTGGTTCTAGCAGGAGTGGCCATAGCTCCCCATTCCAGGCCTGCAGGCACAGAACTGCAGTGAGTCCTGCAGAGGTTTTGGTGATGTTGGGCCATAATGTGGCATGTCTCCTCTTCCTTCCCTTCTTGTGGGCAGAGGGATGCTTAGTGTCCAGTTCCTACACCAGAGGTGGCTGCTGTGGTGGTATTTTAATGGGCCTCTCTCTTTGAGGCAACCCTGCAATTTTCAGTGTTTCCAGCTTGTAGCTCAGTCTGAAGCAGATCTAAGCTTGATCTTCAGGTTCGGTATTCTGGCTGTAAATTTACAGAGGTGGTGACACTGTGGGGCTGAGATTTGACTGGAACTTCTGGGCTCGTCTGTAATATTAATAATATTTCTGTGTAAATGGTGAGAAGTGTGCCATGGTGAAAACATATCCCTGGAAGACTTAGGCTATCTAAGGTCTTGCAGCTTTAAAGATCAGCTGCTTAAAACATGAAGCAAACAAAAAAATCCTCGATGAAAAAAGAAAAAAATCATTCTATCATTTTTGGCAGTTTAGAAAACTCCTCTCTTTCCCCACATTCCATGCTTCCATCCATTTCCCCAGCAGAAGAAGCAGATATAGAAATCTGAAGTGCAGTTGTATGTGAAAGCCTTTACTTATTCTCTTAGCTCTGTGACTCGCTAATCAGCCTTGTGCTCACAGCTGCCCTCCCTTTGGAGTGCAGAAAGGTGTTCTGACCTAAACCTTCCCTCCTTGCACCTTCTGTTGCACATGGAAACTGCATCCTCTAACACCTACTAAGGACAGGTTTCCAGCTAATGGCTTTTGACTGCATGCACATACAGATTTCCTTGGCTTTCGTAATTTGTGCTTCTGGTTTTAGCTTTTAAATCCATCATCAGGGCTGGCATGGACATCCTGGCTTACCCGTAACTACTCAAGCTCTGTGCCAGCAGTATCACTTTTGTAAAGCACCTTGGGATGCATGCTACGTAAGGAGCTGTATATATCCCATTGGAGTAATCTGGTGCAATAATCTGGAGGCAGAATTTACTGTCTGCTGTCTGAAATGTGTAAACATATGGTCTCCTAACTCTTTGCAACCAGTTACAGCCTACAGATTTATTCCTGCACTTTTTGCACTAAGCTGTTTCTGCTGCATGAACAGAAAAGGAAAGAGAATACTACATGTGTGGTTTATACCTTCAGGAATATTCACATGACTTCTGTAAAGGCCTCCTGCTTTTTGGAAGGCATCCTGGGAATAACACCAGAGATTAAATTAACTGCAGTCTGTTACATCATTTCGATATGTGGGACAGGCTACTCCTGCCCGAAGGAAACAATCTCCTTCCTCTCACCTTCCCCCAAGAGAAGAATAGGATCAGGCCATAGAGATATATCAGAGATATTTTCAAGTGTAAAGACCTTATCTTCAGAGAACTGAGCACCTTTCCTGCTTCCAGAAGACTCCCTCCTTGTCCACAGTGAAATGGTAGACTCTACAGTCTTGTACTGAAAGGGCTGGGCTTTGCCCTCCAGGACGTGGCAGCTTGGCATGAAAAAGGCAAATATTGTATCTTTAAACAAATGCTGCAACTAAAATGAATAAACCTGCCAGTGTCTGGAAATGGATCAGTTCAGTAGTAGTAAATCTTACATATATATAGAGATATGTCAACAATATGCCTTATAGTAAGTACTAGAAAACGACAAAAAGTTCGTCTTTTTATCTGATGGCCCCAAAATAGTCTCTTTTTCATGAGGTTGCCTTAGGCCTGAATGGTCTTTTGGAAGAGATTAGCAACAGGCCATTTGGGAAACTGCCATGGTTGGAGAGGAAATCCAGCAGGTCACTGATGAAGCTGCAACCATCATCCACATGGTTGTGCAGAAACCAGCAGATGGCACAAAACCTTAAATATGCTTCTTTGGCCAGCAGATCACTGTGTGGTAAAATCTCACTAAAAGAGAGATTTTAGCCAGCTCTGCTTTCAGCTTGTTCTACCAAGGCAGCAAGATGTGGAAGGGCTTGGAAGAGAAGTTGGAACTTAATTTTTCTGGCAAGCTCTTGTCAATGGCTCTCAGAAAATTGTTCCCCACAGGCTGACTGCCCGTCATGAGAGAGAGGCTGAGGCTTCTTGACCCCTATTGCTTTCAGCAGCCCACTCTTTCACTTGAAAACAGGGTGACAAGTGTGTGCCTTTTTCTGAGGTGTGTTGTGTGCACAGGAGCATGTGAGGCCCTGCTCTGCCAATTGTCAGTCAACACGTTCAGCAAGAATTACATTAAAATTTTTGAGAAGGGAAAGGCGTCTCCCAGTTTCTGTCATTTAAAACTGTGAGGTATTCGAATATTGCCTTGAAAGTCCTAAAGCAGTGATTTATGATGCCTTTTTAACCTGATTATATAACACACCCAAGAATCTTACCCTTGAACCGCAGGAGAACAAACTTCAAACAATTTCCTCTTCATCTGTATTGCACCACTCACTTCCTTGGAAAAGATTCATGTTTCTGAGCAGAAGCCACAGAAAATGAAAATCTCTATGTTCACAACCTAATTCTGGCATTCCATTGTGGGGAAGCCTTACTTCTCCTGCATCCTGCATCCCCAACAAAGGAGTGGAGAAGACTGTCACCATCCTCTCAACCCTTGGCAAACATGGAACTGGGATGTGTGTTCTCCAGCAGGACATCTTTTTTTATAAATTTCGTTCCATGTTACATCAAATTCAACAAGCCCAGGAATATGTTTCAATGCTTTGATTCCTCCCTATTTTTTTCCCTAGGCCCAGCAAAAATGGCCATAATACTGCAGAAATTAAGTTCAATTTGATTTTGTTTTCTTCATGCTCTAAACAGCACGTAATGCAGTGACAGATGTTATGCTCACCAAGCAAAATCTTGTGCTGTGATTAGCTATTATTAGTATGTGTCTAATCCCTGGGGGATTAAGTGGTTCATCTAAGCATGGCTTCGAGTGTCACCTATGTCTCACATGGACATAAACTAATCTCTTTTGTTGGAACCAGATGAAGTGATAAGTGTTTGGAAGCCTTCTAATTGACAGAAAACACTGCAATTCATTCTCTGTCAAATCCCCATGTCAGGGTGAAATAGCTTATCTCATATTTGGTGTCAGTACCTTTAAAACCTAATGGGCATCTAGCACTGAAGTGCAGTTTAAGAAATTACTTTGTATGTGACTCTCAGTGGCCAAGCAGTTCCAGTTACCGCGAGCTCATTCCTGTGTGCACTTGCCCAGGCTGCCTCTGAAGATGTGCAGATGGCATGAACAGGACAGGCTCAGTCACTACACTGCATTCAAAGCACCACAGCCTCCCTCTCAAGTGTAAATGGAAGCTGCACAGAGGCCAAATCAAAGTTGCAGGCAGCAGGCAAGGACAGCTTTTTCCAGGCAATGGGCAGCCTTAAACAAGCTGCCTGGAAGGCAAGAGAGCTCACACCAGGTACAGGGCAAAGCTGTGTGCTTCTCTTCACAAAGTCCTGGCCAAGAGGCAGTAAGTTATCACTGGAGCAAGCCAAAAACATCCAGAGGCTTTAGCCTTACTCTAGAAGTCCAGACTGTTGTATCAGAATCAAAAGCTTCAGGACTTCCTGGGCTGACTCCATAGGAATTACAGGGTTGTCCCTAGTGGTTATGTCCAAGGCTCCCCAGCACTTAGCACCCAGTGTGAGGAATAACTGCTAGTACAGCCAACTCCTATTTGAATGTCTGAAGTCTTAGATCTCCCAGGTGAGCCTGGGAAAAAGAGTTCAGGAGCAGCCTTTGCAGTTAGGGAAATTCTTTGGGTGCTGGAGGATGGCAGACATGGTTTGTGGCCAAAAGAACTCTTCTAGTGATTTCTGCCTTCTTGTCTTTTTTTGATGTATTGTATTCCCATGAAAGGCTACTAGAGGGAACATTTTGGGAAGAGAGACCTGCAGTATTTATGTAACTGGAAATATTGACAAAATTAGCTAGAAAGAACGTGCATAAAAGAAAGAATGCAAAAAAATACACAGGAGAACTGAGGACTCCAACATTTTGATATGAACATTGAGGCCAAACTGCATTTTTGCACTTTTTTGTCCCCTCCTGCATGTGGGTAATGCATGATGTCTTCCTACTTTTGAAAGAATCACCTTAATTTGATGATGCAGGTATGAGAACAGCTAATTTTGTACCTGCTTCATGCAAGCTGTCAAACTTGAACACGTGCCGATGCAGATGCGTGTATATAGTCCAAGTGTTTCTCTAATTAATGCTCTGTGCTTATTCTCCTAACATGTGTTAGAAGCAGAGAGGCTTCAATGAGACAAAGCAGTGGTACAATCAAATCATCAGATTTATTAGCTTTCTGGGCAGCTTTTTCCATTATGTAAAAGCTGTGTTTGTATTACTATAGCAGTCAGACCCACCAGTGTGAGGATTACAGTTGGTTTTTACATAATGGATTATCCAAGATTAAGTGTTTTATTCAGGCACACGAGCAAAAATAACCAATTAGTGACTTTGCAGATTCCTTATTTAAAGGGAGCTGGAGGGCGAGTGACACAAAACTCTCCTGCTACCTGCAGCACAAAGACTGAAGCAGAGGAGTTCTCAAGGATCTCCAACATCTCTACTCAGCAGGTAGGTCTCCCTTCAGCAGCGGTGGATCAGACTGGCATCTCTCGCAGCAGGGAAATGCAGCTTGCATGGCAGCAGCTAGGAACAGCCTAGTGTAGCTGCATGGCTGTTTGGGCTCTGGGTTGGTAGCTCAGCTTGGATGGTGCTGACAAGCATTAGATAACTGTTTTATTTTTGGCATCAGGACAGGTATTCAGTGTCAAATACTCTGCATGAATATATCATGAAAGTTCTCTGTTCCCAAAGTTTGAGAAATAAACGTATTGGGGTATGGATGAGCTGGGATACCCAAGGAGAAAAACAGTCATGGATACCAAGTGGTTGTGCTGCAATGACAGATCAAGCCTCCAGAAAATTAATATTATTTGCCATGTTTGTTGAAGGAATGGTCAGAGGGCAGCCAATACCAAGGTGTATTATAGTGTTAGAGTAGGCACGTAGGAAAGGCCTGTTTTGGTGAGGAGAACTGGTGATAAAGAACACAGCTTTGCTGGCTTGAAAGCAAAGTAGACACTGTGAAATAATTCGAAACAACATCTTTACAATATACAGTGCTTTACCAGAACATTTCATCAGAACATCTTTATTCCTGTGAAAACAAAATTCAAAATGTTTCAATTTTTTAGCAATTCTTACTGGCTGGTCCATAGATTATGGATTTACAGTTCATAGTCTGGCTTGATTTATAATACAAAAATACAATGAACTGCATTCCTACTATTGGAAAGCAAAATACTCTTCCAAAACAATTGCCTTTGATGTTCAGTTTTGGCTGAATTTAGGCACCACAATGACTCAGTATCAGTGGAAGAGTTGATTGTCTGCTTAATATGAGAAGAAACTAGTTTTGGAATGATGGAAGCACTACATCTGCTGCATGAAATAAACACCCATGTTTGCTTTTGTCTTGCAGAATGAAATACGCACAGTATGTTTTCCTGGCCTCGGTCTTCTACACTGTTGAATATAGCCTAGCTCAGACGTGTGCAGTGGAGTCTTTCTCTGTCAAAGACAATTTTGATCCAAAAAGGGTAATTACATTTACTTCAATAGTACATGGGAAGAAGCTTTACCTAAAAACTGTTTCTCCAGGTTATGAGTTTTGTTCATCTAAAGGGGTCCTTCACCAAAAAGTTAACTTCTTTCATATTCTTGTCAATGCTTCTTCCTGTAGTTTTCTTTTCTCAGTACTGTTAAATCACCTGAACATTATGGTAAAACTGGCCTTGAAAGACAGGGACATTACTAGAGCTCAAATTCTGTTAGCTTGGCACAACTCTGAGCTTTGAGCAGTTCTGTGAAAGGAGCAGTTCAGATCCGTATCAGAGAGGAAGCTCAAGCAGACGCCCTAGGGTACTTGCATCCACCACTACTCATTCTTGGGAGTCACAGCAAACGGAAATGTTACCTAGTCTGGGATGCTGAACAATGACTCCTGTTTAAACAACATCATTTGTGCTTTCTGAGGAGAAAAGGAGGACTAGCCTGCTGCTGGAAAGGTCCAGATATGTGTCAATACCTATTTTAACTAATGGTCAGCAAACACCACAATTCCAGGGGTAACTGGGATGTGGCAAGCACTTTCTCTGTAGGATTGGCTTTACTGAAAACAAAACATGTCTGGGGAGAGCTTTGGGAATATCCCAGTTTTTAAAAGTCAAAGTTTTCACTCAGGCACCTGTATTTGGGAATTGTGGCCTTGCAGGCTTAAGCACATAGCTTGCCTAACAGCTGTCATTAGCTTCACTGCAGAATCAGATTTAACACAGCTAGCTCCTGCTCTTCTCAGTATTTCTACTGATAGTGCTAACTTTTAAGGGTCTTCCTCTCAGTCACCTGTTAAGATTTTGTTCTTATTGTACTAGATACTTCTTGCACATTTTCAGTGGCCCATTTTTTTCGTATGGACATATTCTTTCCTTAATATCATTACATTTCCCTCTGCTGTTACTATCCCCAACACACCCTCTCCTTGTTTTGAGTGTGTAGTCATCACTTTCAGCTTTGCTGGGTAGACCCTTTACCCCATCAGAGATCAACTGTGGCTAGTGGCAGCCACAATGATTGCTTCCAGACAGATTGCTACAGTCTTCGTGCCTGCATTTGATAGTCTTGAATTTGGTATGGTATTCCATGGAACAGAAGGGGAAGGGCTTGATCAGGGAAGAACCAGTCTGACCCTCAGAAGACATCTTAGGATAGGAGATGCTTTTGGTGCGGGGTCTCGGTGACAGGAATGTCTCACTTGACAAGGACTACGTGCACTCAGTAGTGCAGAGCTGCTAGACCCAGATCGTGGCACAGAGGCAAGGGTTCATCAGGCAGCACTGCAGGGTCTGTGCGCTACATTCCCTCCTGAGCTCAGACTGGCAGTTATCAGGCAGTGGAGATTTAGAAAGACACTTTGATCACAAAATTGTTTCTGTTTCTTGTGATGGTGGCTAAACCAGATATTAATACACTTTCATGACAGTACGCAGGGAAATGGTATGCCCTGGCCAAGAAGGATCCAGAAGGCCTTTTCCTTCAGGACAACATCTCTGCTGAATACACTGTGGAGGAAGATGGTACAATGACAGCATCCTCCAAAGGACGAGTGAAGCTTTTCGGGTGAGCTCTCCTGACTTTCAGTTCTAGTTGCTGTCATGAGATACTGGATGAGGGGGGGACATGGATGATGATCTATCCTGAACACACAACATGGCTGGGTTTTCTTCATCAAAAAGAGAAGTTCAGCCAAAGTATTAGATTAGAAGCTAGACACTTTTTTTTTGAGTTTCTTCATAGCCTGGCTCTGGTTTGGGTCCATCACAAAACTACTGCATAAAGTCAATTATTAAGTCAAATCTTGATTGATGGAATGGTTACATAAATTAATTGCAATCAAGAAAAGGAGCAAGTGAAGGCTGTGGGCCTGCGACAGGACAGGACAGTTCTCAGGGCAGGACAACTCTCATTTCACTGAGGGGTTATGGGGAAGGAGAGGAGCATTACTTCCACAGATGTCACAATACAGTGTTGGACAGATTTCTGAGGAAAACCTGTGGTTAAGTCTTAGATATAATTGCAATGCCTGGATGGACAGATGGCAGGAGCTTAGAGTTTTGCCTGTTGGTCATGATTACTACAAGGAATTACAGCATGTAAAGAGATTAAATAGCTTTCTGAGAGTAGAAGTGAAAATCTGTGGCTTCCAGTACGCTAGCAGTAGCAGGAGGCTATGCACCTTCACAGTGCAGCATTCCAAAATATTTTGGGAATGGGCAAATGAGGTTTTGCAGGCATGCCATACTGTGCAAGGGAGAAGATGCCTGAAAGGACTCTTCAGAAAACAGGTGGGGTCTCAAGGCTGCTGCGTATTTTATTTCTGCAGAGGCAGGATAAGGGGAAGCACAGCCTGAGCAATGAAGGGAATGAAGACCCTTCCACTGTTTCACAAATCCAGTAATGCTTGACAAACAGTGTTGAAATATAGATGGTGTTCAAACCAAACAGACACCAAACAGAGAAGGGCATGGAACAAATGGACACTCACAGGTGTCCCACAGGGCTCTCAACGGCTGTGACAGCTTTTCACCAGCTTGGTAGAGGGGCTGTAACTATTACTGTGCTTGTAAAAGACACTCCTGTGCCCATACTGCTGGGAAGGGATAGACAGGGGAGAGACAACTCCTTGGCTCTTCCTGGGGACAGCTACTGACCCCGAAAGAGCCCAGATGCAGACTACTAGCAGGGACCCAATAAACAATGTTGATTATTGTGCTTGGTGGCTGTCTGCTTGTGTAGAAATGGGTAGCAAAAAGCTTACTGAACTGAAGGAGGGTCAGGGCACTGCCCCAGCCACAGCGTAGCCGTACAGCAGAGCTGGGGACCAGACAGCAGCAGCAATCACTGGTAGTGTTTGGGGGGTGCCACAGATTTGCATTACTTAATGACAGTGATTTTGCCTTAAGAAAGACCATGCCCATGCCTGAGGCAGTCATGTCCAAGTCCTGAGTGAAGGACACCCATTTCAAGCCCTCATGCTGGCAGGTTGTACCTTCAATCTTGTGGATCTCGTTGCAGTTTCTGGGTGATCTGTGCTGACATGGCTGCTCAGTACACAGTACCTGACCCAACCACTCCAGCAAAAATGTATATGACCTACCAGGGACTGGCCAGCTATCTCTCCAGTGGTGGTGAGTTAAATTTTCGAGCCCCCTGACACAATTGCTTACAGCTGTCTAGATGTGTGTTTCCACACATAAGCAGGAAAAACAATTCAGCTCAGATTGTTCCAAGTGAAGACAAAACATCCTTTTTGGGGGACATGCTTTATCCAAGCAGTGCGTTTTATCTCCACAGAAAGGGCAGCATCCAGAGACTCCCCAGGGATCCCTCTTATACACCATATATGTTAACAAGGGGGCCTAGAGGCCACACACAATGGGTTTTGTACAGCCAAGTGTCGTGTTGAGCCTAGGGAAGCCATACATCCTGGGGCCTACTGTGGGCATTCTAAAAGTGCTGAGGTCAGTCATCCTTGTACTCCTCATACCAAAACAAAGGAGACATGTGGGCCCACAGCTGCACCCCAGCAACAAGACACATTTCTCCTCAGATAGACACAGCTGGACTCGAATAAATGCAGCTGTTAACTCAAGTTCCCTTTTCAGAAACTGCTCATGCTGAACCTCAGTTACTTGCCCTTCAAAGTCCACCCTTTGTGCTTGACCCGCCCACAGCTGCGGTTCTCCAGCTGTGAAAGTTGGGGAGGACTTCTAATGTGTAAGAAAGAAGTACATTTCCTTAGTACTGGCAGATAAGCCACACCAAAAAGAACTTAGTTGACCAAGGCTAGAAAGCAGGACATATTTTTTACTTCCTGTATAGGAATTGTAATCTGTACTGTATGTCCTTCCTTCAACAATACTTGAGCAAGCACCATAATGAGATATTTTGTCATTGAAAACCTAGAAAATCCTAGTCCTCCTAATGCTTCTAGCCTAAGAAACAAAAGGTGAAAATACACTGAGCATGGTGGGGAAAATCATGGTCCAAAGATGCCCTGTGTTTGTCCCAGTTCTTCCCCTCACGGTGTGGAGATAAGCTGGATGTGTGACGTGATTACAGAACCTTTGTAAAGCTATCCCTGCCATGTGAAGTTTGCCATCTCCCTGCTGAAGGATCCACCTCTGCCCTGTTGTGCCCACTGTGACAAACCTGTGTGTTTCGATGTTTCAGGGGACAACTACTGGGTGATTGACACTGACTATGATAACTATGCCATCACCTACGCCTGCCGCAGCCTGAAGGAGGACGGCTCCTGTGATGATGGCTACTCCCTGATCTTCTCGCGCAACCCCCGCGGCCTCCCCCCAGCCATCCAACGCATTGTGCGCCAGAAGCAGGAAGAAATCTGCATGTCTGGCCAGTTCCAGCCTGTGCTTCAGTCAGGTACTTTGGGCTAATTAGCAAACTCACTGAGTTGTATAATAGGTGATTGCCTTTGCTGTTAATGTGACAGAACCACAGCAAACTCAGTTGCTCTTTTTTAGCAACCTTTCCGTCATGTTAGATGTAATAGGAAGAGCTACAAAAGGAAGTCCATGCAAGGACAAGAGCCTGCTACAGGCTGGTTCTGCAGCCTTAAGATTGTTACATGATACTTACAGGAATCCTGTGTGTTGAAAGTGGTACACTACCAGAAGAAGATCAGCTTTGTTACTGTAGTAGACAGGACAGGGATGGATGCAACAAGCCAGTATCTCTGCACATGCTTGTCTTGGCTACTTGCATAATAGCATCTTACCTTGGATCTGTGCAGTGTCCTCCAGGAAGAGATGAGAGGTGCCTCCTTAGTTCCATCATGACTTGTGATCCATGTGTCCTGTGTGGTCTGAGCAGCAGGGATGAGGGGGTCTGAGTAGCATTTTTGACTGCATCTGTTGGCACTGGGAGTCAGCAGTTGAACCACATACATGCAAATAGACCATGTCTAAAGCCCATTTCAAGAATATTTTTCTGAAGGTATAGGAATTGATCTTCTAGTTCAAATGCAGTCCATGAAATAGGCACATACTTTTTTAGGGCTATGCAGGAGGCAGAAATTCCTCTTTGCTGGCAGTTGAGCACTCACACCCTTCACAACCTCACTGCCCTGCCTGGAAGTTGACCTTTTACTAAGCCATGTAACACCCATGTACCGCATAGTGGACAAGGAACGGCAGCGAAAACCTCCTGAACAGCACATTCTTGTGTCAGCCAGTCCTCCAGTACAGAGCAGGTACTGGCATCACCCAAGGCTGTGAGCATGGCATGGGTATCCCTGCCCTATACCCCTCTGTGCTGCTCCCTGTAGCAGAGGGAAGGCAGCTGGTTTGCAGGGTCGTGGCTGGGTGCTCAGGAAAGCCAAAAGCCCATGGCTAGCTGGGAAAGACTGCCTGTATCTCTGCCAACAGACACAGAGAAATGCAAACAGCAACTTTTGCACCTGGCATCCTAGTCTTTTACTGTGATTCAGAAGTATCTAGAAAGGTTGTAGTTATAGATTCACTGGGGACTTAAAGGCTGTTAAAGCACTTTGCAAATTTACTTACACAGTCTAAAGTTTACTTTTCTTTCTTTCCAGGGGCCTGCTAAAAGTATGCTTCTGATCCTATCCTTAAGCACAGAAACCAGACCTCTTGGTCTTGAAGTTGCCACTCAATTAATAATAATAAAAAAATCATAGTATGGAATAGTGTGTTTTTCCTGAAAAACACATGACAATATTGGGGGATCTTTAAACAGTGTGCAATATAATAGTGATATTTGAATTTTCAAGGAAATACCTAATGTGGCATTTGTCAATAAATGTTTTTGAAAAAAAGTCACCTCTGGAACTGGTTTCTATTGCCTGCTGTCCTGTCTGTTGGGGAGCAGAAGGACTGAAGATGCTCACTGAGGAGCGGTGAGACAGCAGCCACGATGTTCCCAGCACAGGCAAGGCAGAGTCACTCCCCAGCACTGGACACGGGGGGTAGGGCAAGGATGGTGAGCAGGGCACATCCCCTGACAGTGCTATCATCAGACAAGAGCATGGTGACAGGGCAAGTCTGGGATTCACCTAGAAAGTCCAGCCAGCAAGAGGGCAAGGCACAGAGCAGGGTGCAGGCACATCAGTGAGATGGCTCCAGCCAAAAACAGGACTCAAGAGCATGTCTGAGGCAGAGCTACCAGCAGCAAGGCTCCCAAGGGGAAAACTACAAATGCAATAAAGCAGATGCTACTTTCAATAACACTGGGCATTACTTTAAATGAGTACGTGCTTGCATTTCTAATGGCATTACCAGTAATTTGCTTCCCTCTGCATTCATAATCCAGTTTTCAGTATCTGAAAAGTATAGAACTGAATTATATAGAACAGACTGGGTTATGGCAAAGAATTTCATAGATAGATAAAACCAGAAGAAAAGTACCTAGAAATGTCCATGTAGAAAAAGGGTAACCTGAGTCAGCATTATTGACATGTATATCCCACTGCTTTTAGTAAAATCACATTCACTTTGTGTTTCCTAATTATAAAAATACTGGTCTAGAACACCCCAGCATCCTGCTGAACCCTGCAGTTTGTCAACTACACAAATTTTTACAAGTTATAATCACCAAGCACAGAGGTAAGACCAAGCTGAACAGCCCCAACTCCTAAGGCTTCCAAAAGGTGTGTGGAACAAGGCTAATGTTGATTGAAGACCTTCAGAGCACTACAGTGTTAAACAGCCTCTGCAAGATGCTTGCACAAACTTACCAACAGTAACCAGAAAGAACATAGAAACCGAAGACGAGAGACACTGTCCAGGACCAGGACCACTTCAGGGATGCAGTGAAGTCTTTCAAACTTTTATTTCCCAGCATTTCCTGGCAATACTTGTAAGGCTCTCAGCCTGCTTCAACAAAGACATCTTTGCTCTTCAGGTCAAGGGAAAGCTATCCTGACAGGGAAAAAGGTGTGAGCTACCACCTAAAGCTAAGGACAGAAACAGAGTAATACTAGCAGGCAATGCCAACAAAACCCCACACAGACAGAGAACTACTGAGTGTTGAAAAAATATCAGTCTTTTCTGCTGGACTAAGTGCAAGGTCAGTGTAGTGATTGAACATTCTCCACTTCCACCCTTCTCCCAGCAGGAAGTATGGGGGTGGAATCTGTGACCTTAGGACTTGTGTAACAACTGATTAGACAACGCTAACCCTTAGCTGAAGGATAGTGGCCTTTGGGCAAAATTCTCAGACCAATACTACCAGTCTTAGAGAAGTGGGATTTTAAATGTCTGTGGTTGTACCAATTGTATGACCAGAGCAGATGAGAGCTGTAGCAAGAGATAATCAATATGCAGGACCCAGTGCATCCTTATGTACATCCTGGTGTAATCCGTCCAGAGGAAATAAGCAGTGAAATCCCTCCTCAGCCACATAAGGCAAAGCTGGCAGGATAACAGAAATATAGTGGCAATTCTAGCTGAATACACCATAGAGCTCACATGAACCAGGAATTGTACTCGTGGGAGCATGTTTCCATCAGGACCACAAGCAAATCCTCATTGTATGATGTGGTAAATTAATGAGCAGATGGGAGTTACATTGTATCCATTTGTCTTCAATGACTGCAGGAAATGTTAAAGACAAGGCAGAATAGGGCAGGTGGTCACGAATGTATTCTGATGAGATTTACACTTCTCAAATTCTGCTGAGTTCAGCATGAAACATCTCAGGTATATCTAGAGGCTGTTGCTTGAGCTGTCTGATGAAAATCAGTCTATTATTCCTGGGTTTTAAGTGTGTGTATAGGTCCCAAGTCATAATCTCTGTCCTGCACAAACTTTCCACTAACAAGACAAAATAAAAAAATTGTTTATGCATTAAAAGGACTGTTGTTTTGTCCTCAGAAAGTCCTTTAGTGCTGGCAGGAAGACTATGACTGTGCAACAGCAGGAGGGACCCTGCAAGGATATTGTCCTTCACACACCAGTGAACCTCCTCCACCAAGGACACTGCAAGTCCTGAGATCAGACACTATGATACCACCTTGAGTTTGAACAGTTCTCCCTGGGCTGGGGTAACTGAGGCAATCTATGCATTTAGGTTTCTACTTCAGCCTTGACATTTTTAATGGTAAGGTTCCCTTCATGCTTCAATTTTATGTAATGTTGGAACTTCCACAAGTCCAAGCTACCTTTTACTCCTTGTGCTAGTAGCCACTGTAAGCAGCTGTGTGGTACTTGGTTGCTGGCTGGAGTTAAAACATGACAGTCCTAGAGAACAGTTTTTACTTTCCAAGATTAAGTTGGTGACATAAGAGTTGTGAGTAGTTTCTGGAACACAATGACCAGATCCTGTTTTTACAGGGTTCATGTGAAAGATTAAAAACTGTTTTATTTGCTGTCACAAAAGATGGTAACAAATGTAGCATATACACAATTAGACAACGTAAAATACTCAGTTGAAAGGTTCTTTAAGTTGCAAAATGGTTATATAGCCTCACAAGCTTTTGTTTGAAGCGCAGGCAAATAATCCCACATTGCAGTTGCAGTTACATATTCTTATTTGGATTAATGAACAGCAAAAGACATACATGAGTGCTCTGCAGCCTTGCTTTGGTTATGATACTACTGAACTACTAAGCACCTGCTATTCACACCTGGTGCTATGGATACTTGGCACTTCTGAAAATGGGAGGCTGATCACTACATGTAACAGAGAAGATTAGTTAAACATGCTATTCTGGAAACACTATCAGAGTCAGCAACATATAGTTACAGAAATCTCAGTTTTCAAGTACTAAATAGCGTTTTTCTGTAGACATTAAATGATAAAAAAAAACCCCGCCATTTCAAAACTTTTATGGTTTGTTAGAAATAAACTCATACCTGGAAATACCAACTTCTTTTCTCTCTGGAATTGTTAATACATGCTCATTTCTTAAAGGAATGAGTTTATATCATAGCAGCAAAGAAGATTTTCAGAAGAAATCTTCTATTTTTCATGGTTTGCACATCTATAAATTTTCATCCCTGCATAACAAAATCAATACTATTCACTACAGTTATGTTTTTTCTTTTTTCTTTTTTTTTTCTTTTCTTTTTTTAATACACCTGTTACTAGTACATAGTCCTTGGTTTGATAAAGACTGCTATAGTCTGATTGCCAGAGTGATAAAATTTTAAAGCAGAAGGGCTACTCAGGTAGGACATCCTAACACACTAAACTTTCCACTCAAGCTCATACATCTCCTGCTTCAGACACACTAAAATCTCTCAAAACCCTATACCTAATTTTTCTCTAAATCATTTTATTTGTGGTTCCACCTCATACTAGCAAAACAATATGTGTTAACTGCTAGATTTTACTTGTAAGTGTACACTGGTTCTTCACTCAGGGGCAATTATTACAAGTTTAAAATATATTTTTACTATCTGCATCCAAGTAGAATGTCTCAGTAACTTTTCTTAAATTGAGATGGTTTTCAATTCAGTAGGACCCATGGCCCTTTTCTGTTCTGCCTGTATGGACAAAGAATTGGAGGACTAGGACGTGACAAGGGCCCCTTATTAAAACTTAAATGAGGGAAGAAATATTTCATCTGAATTTTGTGACACAATAAATCTTTTAAGGCTAATTTTCAGTACAAGCACATGAACAAGTAACCAGCAAGTAAGGAGATACAAGGCCACATCTCACGTGCACTAATTTTTTGCATATGTTTCTTTTCTGTGCTGTAAAAGTTGAGGGCATTTGAGGTAGTTCAGCTCTCTCCTACTGTGCAAACTTAGGCACTTCTTTTTCTCTGAGACCTGAATGTTTCATCAAATATGCAGTTTTTGTTGTTATGTAGGTGAGGTGGCTGATGTCAGCAAAGAGAGCAGTAGGGGATGTTTGTGTGACAAAGCCACTCCTCTTATGGAAAACATTCCAGCTGTTTTCATTGGCATTATCCTTCTCTCTGTGAGCCTGTTAAAGGCACAGCTCAAACTGTGCCAGTTGTGAAAAGGGAAGAATAAAGCAGCACCCCTGCAATTTCAGGGAATTTTGCTGTTTACATAAAGTGTTTGGCAGCTGCAAGCACAGCCAGTGGTGATCTGTAGCCCGTGATCTAGGGCTATCTATCACACACTCCTGCACATGCTTTGCAAAGCACAGGAGCTCAAACTGTTCTTTTTTAATTTCCTAAGTGTCATAAGTAGCAGCCCTGGTACATTCAAGAGTGTGCTGTCCTGTCATACGAAAACACAAAAGGCTCTAACTAGTGTTTCAGCTTTCTCGTGGCCATGCACAGCTGAGTGGTGACTTACAGTCTGTGAGGGGATGTATTAGCTGTAAGGGCTGAAGGATACCAAGCTTCTCCATTGCTTTCTCCACTGCTTTGTCTCCAGCAATGGAGACAAAGGACTTTCAGGGTTAGAGCCTCCACCGCAAAGAGGCAGCAGCTGACCAAGAGAAAACAGGTGACTTGGGCAAAAACAAAAAAGAGAAAAGGCAGGGAATCTGGAAGCTAGGGCTTTCTGTGCCTTCTCCCCTCCAAGAATGAGCTGATACTCCTTCCTCTGCCTATAGCTCTGACATCCATGTAATGGTCACAAATACTGAGAGAGCTGGATGGAAACCCCTCTGTATGAAAAACCTCATACACCTGAAGACATGGCAAGTGCTCTGAAATAACCCACTGTGACTAGACAGCAGGGAATAAGGGATTCTTTACCTCATGCTCTGAATGTGTCTGGTTGCTGTGCACTTTTCCATCAAACCCTTAAGTCAAGGCAGCTAACCTTTAACCCTTAAAGCCTGGCAGCTAAGGCAGGTCCTCCATGTGCTTTTGCTACCATCCTCAC